GGGGGGGGCTGAAAACTTTAGACGACTTGGGAGGGAAATACGAGTGAATATAAATTGTCCCATCGACAGGACCGCAAGCGGACCAAGAGTTGCCAGATCGTCGTTTGGTCCTGCGTTCCCAACTGGTTAAAATACTGCTTTACCCATATGCTCAGTGCCATCTGAAAATAGGCCAATTTTTTGTCGGTTACAATCTGCTATACGTACAGCAGTAGTGGCAGAGTTGACGCACTTAATCACTCACATGTATACGTAAGAAGACCACTGCTTACAATACCGGAGACAATTTGGTGCAGCCAAACTCCATTCCACGGCAATTCAGCGTACTCATCATTATAACAAAGCTGATACGCATTGAAATCATCACGATACTCTAAAAGTCGTGATTCGGGAGGCTGCAGGCTGATGGAGTAACTCAAACTTCGTGATGATTAATGTGTGCATGCGGGATGACTGACTCAAGGACTGCGAGTCGGGATCAGTGACTCCTTCTTAATGTAACTTTTGCGACACTCACGAACGTGAGTTCAGAGTGTTCCTTTCCATCTAAACTCGATAGCGTATTAGGCCCTCGCGTAGACGAGCTGATTAACTTTGTCAGCAACCGCGACCGAGCCTACCAGCGGGCGTCTGAACACTGTTTTGCCATGGAAACCAACTCAGTCAGTTTCACTATGAAAAACACTTTGCGTGAATGTCTTGCATACACTCCGTGGAACACGCGGTGGGCGTCGTTTTTTGCTAAGTGTGACACGCCCTAAATCACACTTAGAATCGTGCTTTGGAAGGTTATCAATTGACTGGATAACTCGATCCTTGTCGGGCTGAGCATTTCGCTGCAAAGACCCCTTCCTAGGCTGACCCTTAGGGTATTCTCACCTATGCCAGATCGCAGCCGCCCGTCTGCTGCACATCTGTAGTGGAGACCAAATTATGTAGTAGGCATAGACGGGTTATTTAGCTTTCTTAGTCACTGCGCCCGCAACCGCCTCTGATAACCTTTATTTTACCTTAACACAGTAGGAACAAAGGGGTGAAAAGTGTGCTTATTTACAAACGGCTTTACGCGCAAGACGCCGCTGCGCTCAGCTTGTGGGGTAAGAGTAGGCTCCTTGCGGCGGCCAACCTGTCGTTTGTTTCGGAGTACCCTCTACTGTACTACCAAAATAACATAGGCTTAAAGTAGTCCCAATATGCGATCTATTTGACGAGCTTATTCCCAAAGGCTAAATCCTAGTAGGATTAACCGTCGAAATGTGCCCACAAAACACACTACTCACGTTTTAAAGTAGCCCGTTTATTACAATATAACCGCATGAAATGTAGGAATCGGTCGCGAAGTGAGTCTTTAAACAAGCGTCCTAAAAAGGACTCC